ATGAACAACATCGTAACTAGTGGCAGAATATGGATTTCCCAATATGAGCCACTCACAGAGCAGCAGAACGCTTCTACGTCGGAATGTCAGAGCCCAGAAGAGACAAAGTCGGAAAGAATGCAGATGAGCCGGATCAAGACATTGCTCACCGTTTTCTTTGATTCGAGAGGAATGATTTACAAGAAATTCATACCGGAAGGTCAAACAGTGAACGCTGATTATTATTTACGTATTCTGAAACGTTTGTGCAAAAAAATCTCTCAAGTTCGGCCTGAATACAAAGAGCGAGGATCTTGGTGTCTTCTGCACGATGATGCACCGGCACACAAATCTAAAATTGTATGCGACTTCTTGGTTAAAAAAGGCATCACAGCACTCGAATACCCCCCGCATTCGCCTGATTTAACTCCATATGACTTTTGGTTGTTCCCAATACTAAAAGATGGGATAGAAGAAATGCGTTACAATAATATTAAGGACATGGAAAATGATTTGAAGGCGGTTTTAGAAGAGATTCCGGTAAAAGGAATCAACGGATACAAAAACTGTTTCGAACTTTTATTTCTTATAAGCATAAAGCTGTGTATTCAGGAAAAAGGAGAGCATGTTGATATTTTTCCAGATAATTAAAGTAATATTTTATAATTTTTTTGGTACTATTAGCACCAGAACCTGAACAACTGTATCGTTCATGTGGACGTAATCTTGAAATTTTTGACAACGGAATTTACGACGATCGGAATTGTTTAATTATTTCCTTAATTTTTATCGTGTTTTCTTCAAAAAATGGAATCAAAATTCTAATCAAAATTCATTCCGAAAAGTTTTATAATACACGTGACCATATAGAATTTATACCGATCTTCACGATTATATATTAATAATGTCTATGCAGGTATTTTAAAATAAATAGTTTTTCTTAAGTCTCGATTCCCCCAAAAAATGAAAAAATGGCGACAGAATGTCAGTAGAAATATAAAAAGAATTGCTGAGACGGTATACAACGGCAAATTGAATACAAAAACTGAGTTTCATAATGTACTCCATTAAATAATGGAATACATTAAACGTAAATAATGTTGTATTCTATTTCAATGTTTACAAAATAAGGTTTGATTTTTTAAACATAAAATAGAATAATTTTCTATTCGGTTTTTATAGATCACAATCTGCTGTCAAATTATGTCAGCAAGCTCTATCAGCAAAACACAAGTTTAACGCAGACATCAAACGAAAAAAGATTTGTTGTAATATCTGAGCAAATCTGCTGCCAATCTGTCGTCATATACTGTAGATAGATTGCTTAATGACAATAATTTTACTATTTATTAATTAAACAGCATACGATTAAGTATAGTATTTAACTATGCCGCCTTTACTACATGATTATATTAAATACATAAATTTTGCCATGACTACATTAAGTACATTTTGTCTATACTTGACTTCACATTTTGCTAATTATAATTAAGTTAAACGATACTTTTAATCATTTTTCCATTAATTTGTAATAAACCTTACACAATAAACAAGCATTAATCATGTCTGATCTATACAGGTTTTGAAACAACCTTTCGTTTATTATATTCTAAAGAATTATTTACAAAAATAGGAGAAAGTTTCTTTCTGTTATGAGAAAAATGTCTCAAATATAGATTTTATACCGATTCTCTCAACAGATGTCAAAGAACAAAAATATTTATGCCTATATTAATAATGTCTATACGGATATTTTAAAACATAGAGTTTTTCTCAAGTTCCGATAATGTTTCCTTCCAAAAATGTGAAAGGTTAAATCTGTGGGTTAAATCCTCAAGGGTTTCTGAAAAAGAGGACACAGGTATAGATTTTACATCCATATAGCATAGACCTAGACAATAAACGTTGACCATGTATCTGCGAACGGACATTATTGACATATAATATCTTATAGTATCTTATAGTATACATAAAAGTATCTTATACATTTTTGACAATTCGCAGAGATAAGGTGAAAATATTCCAATAGATGACATGAGTGTAAATTTTATACGGAATTTGAAGCATTAAAATGAAAATGCGACATACTGCTTTTTGTCACTTAAAAGCTCATATCAACATATTATAAATAATAATATTTCTATATTAATATCATGCATATGTCTTTCATGTAACTAAATAATTAATTAATAAATACATTAAAATTAAAACGCATCTAATTTAATCTAGTCTAAAATTATTTATTTTTATTGGACTGTGTGCAAAAATACGGTTCAAAGAAATCAATCAATTAATTAATCGATCATTCAACGTATAATAATTTACATTGCATATATGAACAAAAAGTTTGTGTAAACATAACGTAAACAAAACCTAACAATTAAACAATTCATGTAGATGTAATCTTGAAGTTAATGATATCTCTGGTTAATTTCAATAATTACACTTTTTTGTGAAATAACTCAGACAGCACCATGTCTAGCTTTTGGTGTGCTATATGGAAATTTACCTAAAAAATATATTAGAAATGTGAGAGAAGGTATTAGAGATAACTTCTTTTTTGTTAATTAATATATTGCTCTAATTACAAGAAAATCAGAGCTAAAATTATTACATTGCACCATTTGTTTTTTCATTAAGATGCGTATAAAAATAAACCTAAAATTATATTTCCTACAAATTTTGCTTATAAAGTGTTTGACTGAAAAAATGAGGAATAATATCAGATTTAAAAACAATCTTACTTTTACGAAAATTATTTTATTATTATCATTTTTTATTTCATATTCTAACTGTAAAATATTTCCTATTTTTCTTTTTTTATATTTATTTTAACAAAAAAAATATGAGAGTACAATAGGCGATTTTTGGCGTGACTCTGGTATAAGCAAACAAAAGGTACCAA